ATTCAAATTGAATGCACGCGGAGTGTTGTCATTGACATCTAGAAAATCTCTTACTGAGATTAGCGTGGTGACCTCACAAATTTTTCGGTCATTCTCGTCGCGTACTATTGTTACGTCCTTCTTGCACGTATTGCTTTTGGAAATTTTGCTGTGGTACCGAATCGCTTCTGCTGCTTCTGTTGCTAGGCGAACATCCTGTTGACGCTTCTTGCACGATTCTCGGATCAATGTGTGGCTGCTTGTTGAGGTATCTTCTCAATATCTTGATTCTTGTTCTCGAATTTTCCACAATTTGCTTGTCATACGCCCTTTACTTGATTAAATTTGTCAGGCGTTCTTCCTCCTCTCGCATCAAGCGAATATCGTTGTTGAATTCACATTCCTCCTCCGTCGACGACATTTTCCTTGTCGCTGTTGTTTGCCTGCAATCCAAATTGAGATCGTCTTTTATTTTTTCACTCTCGTTTATGCGTTCGGTTAATCGCGTCACAATTTTTTCTAATCTCGCACCGTTAATTGATCTGGTGTCACACGCGTTCTCCTTTTTCGCTATTTTAATTGCGTTGCTCGCACTAGTCACAACTCGTTTTTCGTTACTCGAATGTTTTTTTGTATCCTCGCGTTGCGTCACTTTCGACCATATCACTTTTGCTACTTGTTGCGTACTCGGCGACTCACGTTGTATCCGACTGCAATATTGCAGCCGTCAACAAAAAATGTCCCGAATGAAAAAACGTCAGCGGAGAGGGCGGAGCAAGCGCTCGAAGTGGTCCGCAGGTGGATGGAGAGGCGAGAGGCGGAAGAGCGCCGCCCGACGGCTGTTCCGGAGGTCGCGGCGGAAGAAGAGGTGGAGGAAGCGGAGAGCCCGAGGTACGAGCTACTGACACCACTTCACATGGAGGAGAACGTCGTGGAAGAGTAGAAGAGAATATTATGATTTATTTTGATATATGTTAATCAGATCGTAAGTTAATTTTATAGTTTGGTTTATTTTAGATTGGTTTCCACTTGTAAGTGCATCATAAAAATTAGAGATTGATATTGTTTTCATTTTAACAAATAAGGGTCATAAGGCGTTTATGTTATTACATATCTAATTTTATAGTCTGATTACGTTTACTCTATAATGTATTTTATATAATATTTTATACCTTATGAACAATGGATGGATGAATGGATGGGTGAGCATAAGACAAAGAAAATAAAAATGTAAAAGTCAACAAATATCGTTTCCTGTAATTAAAAATCCTTTACCTGGAATAGAATATAATAATCATACATATAATGGGAAAATAGTGATGACAATTCGGGCGGCCGATAAGAAAAGATAAAGCTAATCCATGCGTTATTGTTTATTTAAATTATAATTTAAAGATACATCGTTATTTCATAGTTAGGAATCAAAAGAAAATGTTCCGAAGACAGGTTCAAATCCAGAAGTCACGTGATCACCTGTAACAGAAAAGGGCAAGATGGAAGATGTATCATCCGACTATCGGATAAATTGACCGGTCACGTGATTATCTGGAACAAGGAAACAGAGCGTTATTGTAACAATGTGATCCATAAAATATTATTATTTTAATTAATTTAAAAGATATACCAAGCGGCGAAGGGCTCCGAGCCAAAGTTGTCATCACACCTGTAATCAGAAAGTCCAAGAGTTAATACGGTACAGAAAATAAGTTTAGTTTCAAATATTTATCCACGCGATTAAGTAAAAACAGCCAGATAAAGCGATATAAAGTATTGTCAAGATGAATAAAAAGAATTAATTATA